AAAGTGCTCTCGGACTGTCCACCTGTAAGTGTCAGTCGTCATTCACTGACTGCAAAATAAGAACAGCTTACCATTGAGACCGCCAGAGGGACACTGCCTTTCAGCTAGCCATCGTGCTGTGCGCTCTTTATCAATCATTCCCAAGCAATCAGCTATCGCTAGGCTGCCCAAACAACAGTACACCTGGAAGTTTATGGGTTCATCGCTACCAGTAAGCGTAAATCCATCAAGGCTTCTTTTTTTCAAAAGTGAGATCGCAGGCCTACTTGTCCAGCATGGCTTTCTGAGCCCGGCCTTGTGCCAAATCCACCATCAAAATTATAACACTGAAGAACAAAATCAACTGCTGCTTCGACATCCACTGTATCTTCTAGTCGGCCCTGCAGTTTAACAGCTTTATTACTCAATAAAGTTAGTTTAGTTAGCTAGTAATTATAATCTTTAGTTATGTAATCTTTAGTTATGTAGCTAGCAATTTTCCCAGCTACACTGATCAATTCCACATGGGCCAATGATCAGCACACTGATGACCTGACATTTTGTTCCACCTTCTTAAGCTTTTGTTAGTTTTGCATTTCCTTCGACAGAAGTACTCAGCAATGATTTAGTCATTTCAAGATGTCCCTGGTGGGTGCCGAGCATTATCACTTCATCCCGAAATTGACACTCATAAACTACGACGAAATACTTTACTGGTTAGAATATATTATACAACTGTTTCAAACTATTTTTGATTTTCATCCATTAAATTTCCTCAAATTCCTACTAAAATTAATTGAACGCTTTCCCCACTTACAATTAAATGCAATGTGGCGAGTGCACAGAACGAGAAACGAGTATCAACTTCATTATATTCATCACCGCCGAAGCTCCCATCCTTATTTTGCCGTGATTTGACGTAGCTCGCAACCGCATTAATATCAATTTCATTCAGTTTTCCTAACATAACCATTATCTGAACAGATTGAAAATTGAACGAAACTAAAATACTGATTACAGACTAGTTCAGATGTTCGTTATTTTTTAAAACGCATCTATGGACAGTGATACTTCTACTCTGACATCCTTACAGGGTAAAAGATAGAAAAATCGCCTTGAGAGTGCAATGCCTCATGAACGAGGCATTGCACTCTCAAGCCGATTTATGCAATGCCTCATGAATGAGGCAAGCTCAAAAACAGATGAAGTGACAGCGCTGCATCAATGGCATTAAAGAATATAAAGCGATAAAATAAGAATGGACTTTTGTTAAAAAAAAGTGGATTTTAAACGCGCAGTACGAAGCACATCTCTAATGAAACACTACGATTCCGACTTGCTGCTGGCGTTATTAACAAGAAAGTGAACACCAGAAACAAAAATTGGACTGGTCATGTAGCAAAAATAAGAGAAAACAGAGAGACAAAGCGGATCACTGAATGATACCTTCACAGTGTTGAAATAACACACATAAGGTCATCAATGTGAAGAACGATATGGTAGATTGGCTGTTTGGAAATATGTTGATTAGAAACGCGCAAAACAGAGAAGACTGGAGAAGCCATCAGTTAGCTAATGGCGACGGGGAACTGGACTGCTGAGATGACAAAATAAGTATTGAACGCTCTCAAAGTTAAAACTAACTGGCCCAGGTTCTACAGAAACGAACTTGCGGAAGAACTCAGATTTGGTTATCGTAATATCAGGAAAATTGAGCTGGTCAGCACTATCATCCAGGAGCAATAAAAATGTTCAGTAATGATCGAGAGGGGGATAAACGAGTTCACATTGCATAATGGCGGTACTATGCTCGTACAAAGGGCAGATGCAAAATGCGTTGATAATTGGTTGCAATCATCAATTTCAGGCTTCCAGAGATGAACTCATTAACATTGCACAATACCTCACTGCCTTCTCTTCGAATTTCCCTCCCCCACCTTATCTTTATCCTCCCT